CGTAATGCAGCGCCGCGAGCCGACCTGCCCTTTATACCCACTGACGGCATGTTTCATTTGCCACTCTTTGCAGAACTCCCGTTGAAGGTCAACTACAGCTATCGGGCTCCTCAAGGGCGGCCCAGCCTCACGCTTGCAGCGACACAGGCATCTCTGAGGCAGGACCCGGCCCTTGCGCAAGCGTTTAGTGAGCGGATGGCGCAGCACGACTCGGCTGCCTCGACGCTAGATGACTTCAATGAGCAAATGCTACAGACCTGGCAAAGCCTTGCTCAGAAAATCAGGACAACCTGGCTACAGCGAGGTCTCTTACGGCAGTGTGTCCAGACTATCAGTCAACGGATCAACCAACCGTGCTTTGCAGGTGCCAGACCACTTATGGCCTCGCTGTTCGCATGCTGGAGACAGCAGAGCACGTGTAGGAGAAGGGCCAAGGACCTGCAAACCCACTGCAGGGAGAGCAAACAGAGGCAAGTGGAACAGCTTGTGCAGGAGTCTTCTCAGCACGGCGCCAGTCTGACAGGCCTTCATCGCATCCTGCGGAAGATAGCTCCCAAAACAACCCGCAGGCGCATGCAGCTCAGGGAGTCCAATAGAGATCTGCCGGACACCAAGGGGCAGCTTGCCATCATAAAGGAGCACTTCGGTCAAGTGTATGCTGAGCAGGCGCGGACACCGCCCAAGAAGATGTGGTGCATCTGCCTCTCCGCTGGCCTTTCAAAAGCTCCCCAACAAAGCGCTCCCTAGAAGGTACGCACCTGCGCCCCTCTGGAAACTATGTGCTCAGAAGGCTTCTGAACTTATGGTCAAGGACCTGCGCTATCTCTATCAAGTTACTGAGACTCAGTCGGTGCATTGGCATCAGGTAGAAGTGGTCCTCCTGCCGAAGCCGTCTAAACCGCTGTCCACACCTGCTTCCCTCAGGCCGATATCCTTGTTGCTACTGTATGCCGAGGTCCTAGCGCAACTTGTTGCCCGACGCATTGAACCCATCCTTACTGCGGCGGCACAGACTCTGGGTCAATTCGCATACTTGCCTTCCCGACAGGCTGCAGATGCACTGGATCGGGCCCTGGTGCACTGTGCGGAGGTACGTGCTGCCCGCAAGGCTTCCTCTGTCAACGTCTGGAAGCGACATCAGGGCTGCGTTGGCGACACTTGTGCAGGTGGCAAAGCGTTTGTCACAGTCGACTGAACCCCCTTACAGGCTGTTTTAATTGAATTCTGTGTGCCCGATGATGTCACCCAACTTGTGCTTTTTCTACATTCCGGGTCGCAGGAGAGGACACCTGTCCTCCCTGCGGCCCGGTCAGGGCATCAGGCAAGGCTGCCGTACTTATGGGCACTTCTGTCACTCAGCATCCTCCGATGCACGCAAGGCATGATCCCAGCTGCAGCACACATCCTCTTCGCGGATGATATTTTAGTGCAATGGAGGTTCTGTGATGAGGTGGGTCTGCAGGCCATCCCTGCTCAGATGTCGGCCCTCTTCCGACTCCTGCAGGCGTACAAGCTTCAGATCTGTGCGGCCAAAACCGGAGTCTTGCGCAGCTGGTGGGGCACCCGGACGCATCAGATAGCCAAGGCCTTTACAACCCGTATCCGCGGTCAGAGATTTTTCACGATCCATCCTGATAAGAATGAGACTGTCCATCTCCCGATGGTTGACTCTCATCCCTATCTCGGCATCATCCTCTCTTCTAAGAACTTTGAGATGCAGACTCTGCGCTATCGCCTTCGGCAAACTTGGATAGCCTTCAACAGGCTGAGTCACACCCTGAAAAATCGTAAGCTTCCCACCCGTCTCAGGCTCCAGCTATACGGCAGTGTCTGCCTGGCCACTGCCTGCTGTGGACTCCCAAGCACTGGCCTCAGCAAGGAGGGCCGCGATAAATTTCAGGGCGTGATTATCAAGCAACTGCGTATGATCATTGGTGATCATTCCTTCCTTACAGGTCACACGCGTGACGAGGTTCTTTCCAAGCACAGTGTCGAGCATCCACTGGTGCGCCTAGACCGGCTCACCACACAGCGCATCAGCAAAGCTAGTGAGAATGGGTACCTTATTCATTCTGAAGCGCTGGCAAGGCGATGGCAACAACTGCTGGACAACATAGCGGCGCCTATCACGGCGCAACCACAACAGATGCACAGGAACACGCCGAAGCAACAAGTCCTGTGTGAAATCTGCGGTCTTGCTTTCCAGGATCCTGCTGCCCTCAAGTTCGCATCAGCAACGCACCAAGGAACAACAACTAGAACATAAACAGAAGATGCGGGCTAGGGATGATGACCACATGCAACACTGTGTTGGAGGTCTCCCCCACAGGAAATGCGAGACCGTGAGCCTGACCCTCCACCTCTATGCCAGGACCCCAGCCTGTTGCAACAGGCCCGGGAGCAGACCTTAGAGCAGCTAGCAGAGTCCGTGCGTGCCAGGAACAGGCATCACTACTGCCCAGTCTGTGGTCTGTGGCTTACTAAGCCCAGATTTCTGAAGTCACACATTGTTCAGCAGCATGCCAGCATCAAAGCCTGCCTCAGCGCCACGAACGGCTAAAGTGCCTTCCAGCTGGGCCTAAACTCTGCCCGTATTGTCACCTCAAGCATGACCGAGGACGTGTCGCATGCCCAGTTTTCCAGACTGCTGCCATCCTTAATGACATTGTCAGAGAATCGACAGCAACCCCGGATCAGCCTAAGGAAAGCCGAGATCGAGCAGGGCAGGAAGGAGCTCCAAGTCTTTCAGTCCATCATGGGCGAGCCCAAGACGGGCCCTAGGCAGGGGCAGAGGCCTGACAAGGGAGGAATCAAGGCCAGGACATGGGCACCGACGAGTCTCACGCCCAGCAGGTCGTTGAGATGGTAGCTCAGCTAGCTCTGAGGCACGAGGACCAACTACAGTTGGTTCGTCAGGACACGGGCTTTGGCTCTTCCTGCGTATCCAGACGCCGTTGTCCGTGCTCCCCCAACTTCACCAAGTGGGGAGAGGCTGATGACGGACTCCAAAACGGCCGGTCAGCAAGGCGGCCCAGCTCGGGCCACTTCACCTGTCTGGGTTACGATCGTGCAGGCAAGGTCTACAGCCCACTGAGGGGACCTCACGTAGGCGCCTGCACTATCGCTGGGTTCCTCGGAACGGATAGTGCGGCAGTTGACCAATGCTCTCACAAGAAGAGCCACATACCAACCGGTATGCATAGTGACACGCCTGGTGAGATCTTCTCGCTGCGTCCGAAAGAAAGTTTTACGCCAATTTTCACCACATGTGGTTCTTTGGTCTGACTTGCGTAGCCTCCACAGCCACCCATGGATCAAATATGCGTGTGAAGAAAAAATTCTTTCTTGACCCACCCACTGCCACCCTTGAAAAATGCTGCACTTCCTCTGTACCTGTGCGACACAAGCCGCGGCCTGTTGTGCAAGCCACCTTTCCAAGGCAACCTGCCTCTGTAAGCGTTAATGATACAAACCCACAAAATCACTCTTCATTTCTGTGGGCTGTGTGCCTCTGTGAGCCGCACAGAAATTCGGTGCCGGCATGGCTCACTGCATCCATGCCATTTAAATCACTTGCAGCTCAGGCGAGCTCCCGAGGTCGTCGCCGGGAAAGCCTGAGGTCCCACGGTTCAACTGATGGATTGATGTTGCTTTTGAACTAGCAAGGTTCCATGCGTTTGAACAATGTGTTTAGCTGTAATTGGATACAGGCGAGAAAATTCAGACAACTTATCGGAAGCCACCCCTGAATCTTAGGCCCATTTCTCTACTCAAGATCTAGCCGGCACGCACGCTTCTGCAAGCAGCTGAGAGGGGGCGTCAGTGTAGTATAGCTTGCGATGGCTTTTAACGGTTTTGAACGTGGGGCCCCTTGCTCGGGCTGCTATTTGTGAGCTTGGAGGCTAAATTCTTCACAGCCTGCATCAATCCCACCCACAAGCCGTGATAGATGAATTTGGCTGGTGCAGTTTGACTTTCTTCCTGGCACAGAATTGCTTTGCATTGGGAATTGCGTTGATGCCAGGTTTCCAGTTGACCTTGCATGTGGTATTTCGTGAACATGGCCACAGGTGACGATCTCCACGTGTCTCCACGTGTCCATGTGCTCAAACTCAAGAACCCGTCTTAGGTTGCTGTCAGCAAGTTCCAAAGCCGGCATCGGCTGTAGTCCTTAAAATGTGCGTGTGCCTACGGCATGGGTCTTCTGTCCTTTTCAGAAGATGAGGAGTCTTTTGCGTGGTAAAGCAGACCGACTGCGCATGGCAGACCAATGGGCAGAAGCTGGCGAGGCAGAGAAGGTGAAGATGCTGCTGGAGCCTCTGCTTGGAACGTCCAATCAGCAAGCGCCTTTCCTCTTCAACATTGTCTTGAAAGCGTATGCCAACGCGGCAGACCTGATTGGGGCTGAGACGTGGTACCGGCAAATGCTGTTGGCAAAGGTCCGCCTGAACGGCAGGACATTTGGAAAGCTGTGCAAGAGCGCTGCCAAAGCCCGAGAACCACTTTGCTGCGAGCGCTGGGTGTTCCGGGGAGATCAGCATGGTTTCCCGGTCACTGCTGCGCAATTGACCACGCTGGTCGATGCTTGCCATTATGATCCTCAACGCGCAGATTGTTGGCTGCACCGCAAGAGGATCTTCTCAGATACTGAGGAAGCTGACATAAAGAGTCGTGCTGCTGCAGCTTCTGTAGCAGCTTGGGCAGAAGCTGGTGATTTGCGGAAAGCAGAAATGGCCTTCCGACAAGCAGCGCAGGGCAATGGTATCAATAGACAGCTGTGGACAACGATGTTGAACGCTTATGCAAAGAGCAGCGCAAGTGAGAAAGCCGCGGAATGGTTTCAGTCCGGTCTCCAGATGAAGCTGAAGCCATGCACTGTCAGTTACACTTCTGTCATGGAAGCTTTTGCCCGGGGCGGGGACAGTGAGGGGCCAAGGGAACTGCGTGTTTTTTAGTCATGATTGCTGCCTGCCTGATCAGGTCCAGCTGCCGAAAGCTGCATGTTGGCAATGACCGCCCGACCTGTTTACGCGAGATGGAACCTAGATCAGTTGGTTGGCCTCCTGGCTGTAGGATTCGAGATGGAATTCGGCTAGAAAGCCTTGCGTGTCCCAGCCCTGGCATGCGAGCTGAAAGAAGCTGGTGTGTTGTATGCCTTCTTCGCAGGTGCTGTCTTGTTGGGATCGTGGGCAAAGACTGCAGAAGTTGCACGGGTGGAGGTACGATGCTCTCAACCATCATGACTTGCCTGGCCTCACAGCAGCAGATGTGGCAAGGCCTGGATGGGAAGAATCCGTACGGCTGAGGCGCGCGCAGCGCCACCCTCGCGGCCCTGGTAGATTTTAAGCTTTGCTGGCAAGGTAGGCCTTGATTCAATCGTGGGATGCTGAGCTGAAGCTTGTTAGGAAGATCGTCGCGCAGGATGCATGTGAATGCTGCAGGCATACACGGCGCTCATCTCGGCTTCTTCTTCAGCAGGTGACGCTGAGAGGCTCGGCGCCACAATTCGGCCTTGAGAGAGTTTCAAAGGGTATCCCAATCCATCTATCTATCTCTTTCTCTCTACTTCTCTGTGTTTCTTTCTTCCTGCTCTGCCTGTTATGCGAATCCAGGGCAGAAGCTGTGCTGGACGAACTCCGCGCCCTGGGACTGGCTGTCAATGTGGGGGATCCAATCAGCGTTTTGAGCCTCAGGGAGCTTGGCTGCTGATCACTTTCTCTGCAGGTGGTCTCCCACACAGCAGTGGTTCAGGCCCATCTGAAGTCGCCACAGCCTCAACTCTTGACTAGTGGAAGCTTCCTTGTTCTCCACATGTCATTGACACCAACCAGGCGCCATCCAGAACGTCTGAGCCTGAGCTCCGAGCCTGCTCCATGCTGCCTAAACCAGCTCTGGAGCCACTGCACGCACCTTGTATGCAAGGCCTGACCCGTGCGCAGAGAGCTGTCGAGCGCATGCTGGAGGCCGCGGAGGCCCAGCCCAATGCCAGCTGCCCGGAGCGACAGACTGCATGACCCAAGTGCTAGCTAGACTCAGCTGCACATGTCTCTTGAAAGGCACTCACTTTTGGACTACTCATTGGGGGCTTTGCTTCTGAAGGCTGGAGAGCGCAACACGCAGAAACACACAGAGAGTGTTTGCAAGCACATCGGTCAGGTCATGTTGCAGAGGCAGAGGACTGGTACGCAAGGATGAGGTGCTGTTATGCTCCTTTTCGCGCGCTCACACTCAGACACTCAGAACCGTGAAAAAGTTGTCAGGTGCAGCCTGCGGGACGTGGACCTTGTGGCACACAATGCGGTCATCAACGCATCGGTGGCTCTGCAGCTCAGCTTGCCTTCTGAAGCCCAAGCTGGAGTCCAGGCACGAGCTGGCGATTTGGTTCGGGCCAGGCCAGACTTCGAAGGGGTTTGAGCGGCTTTGAGTTCTCAAGATGATACAACCAGACTTTGGTGGGAGCGCCTGATGCTTGCTGATCTCCAGCCAGATGCGACGAGCGAGCCCCTCAGGCTCTCTCAGACCGTGCCGAAACCCACCAAGACACGTTGCAGCCGGAGGCCACAACACCGTGCTTGAGGCTGCAACCCGGGCTGCTCCCGAGGAGGCATAGGTCTAGCTTCGCATTTGAAACCGAAACCGGGAGTCTGCATCAGCATGCCAGGGGGAGAGCTTCTTTGCAGACCTGAGCGCTGCTGGTGCGGGCCACCGTCGGAGCTTCAGATGGCCTTATCGTGTTCTCTCACTTAGGTTTCCATGGAATGGTTTGGCCAACTGTCTGGCGCCGAGATTTGCTGTTAAGGACTTCTTCAGCCTTGCGTGCACAAGGAAGTAACCTTTGCCATCCTGATGCGCCCTTCAGCGGAGAGGGGTCGAGACCTCGGACCGCCACGTTCCTGTCGCGTTTCAACAACTAATCAATTGTGCGGGAGGCGATCTGGAGAACGTGGACCGGCTGTGGCAGCAGATGCTGTCCTTTGGTGTTCGACCGCAGGAGTGCTGAAGAGGGTTTCGTGGTCCTTCAAATTCCTGAGACTCCACAGGCTTGCAACTTGTGGGCTGTTCTTTCCGCCTGCGCCAACTCCAAGCCGCCACTTCCAGACACTGCTGTGCAGCGATATCAGGCCAGTGAGCTAGTGACAGCTAGTGAGCGTGATTCCCGGAGCATCCCTGACAATTTGGCACCAGGACTGGGTGCGGCAGGGCGGCAGCACCGACCGTCACGTGGTCTCAGCACTTCGCTCTGCCCTTTCAACTGAGAAAAGAGAGGTGTACCCCGCTTGCTTTTTACCGGTTCTCCAGAGTGTCTTTTTGCTAGCATGCAGCGCGTCATGTCACTACAGCCTCCGAGAAATTGCGCAGCACTTTGCAAGACATGGGGATGCCTTGACATCGGGACAGATGAGTCCGCATGAAAAGCCGAAGCGTTGAACGCAGAGAAAAAGATAGAAGAGAAGAGCAAAAGCAAGGAAGCAAGGAAGCAAGGAAGCAAGGAAGCAAGGAGAAGTTGAAGCGTTAGTGAGGCGTAGGGCCTTCCTAGGAGCTCCTTCGGAGCTCATGGCCAGTGCCGGGCCCGTTCGGCGCTCGCCCCGCCTGGAGACCGCTGCAAAGGCGAAAGCCGAGGCCAAAGCCAAGGCGGAGGTCTCCGAGGTGGAGGCAAAGGCACTGAAGGCACAGAAGCCCAAAACACAGCCGAAGCCGAAGCTGTTGGCGAAGGCCAAGGCCAAGGCTTTCTTGGCCAAGGAGCTCCGCCCGCGGCCCGTCCCACCTGCCCGGACCGTGCAGCCATTGCGGCCCTCGCGGCCTACGGGATCTGGCCCAAAGTCGGCCAAGGTGCAAGACCTTGAAGAGGACGACTTCAAGGACGAAGACTACGAGGACTGCCAGCCCATCGCCAGGACAGCCGCTAGGCCCGCTAAGTCCATAGCGAAGGCCGTGGGGAATCCAGTCGCTAAAGCAGCTGCCAAAGCCACGGTGAAGGCCAAGGCCGCAAAGGCTAAGGCAAAGGCGAAGGCCAAGGTGCTGGGGAGGCCAAAGCTGCCTGCAAGGCCCTCAGCCCTGAGACGGCCTCAGAAGGAGCTACCGGAGGAACCGGAAGATGAGGACCACGCTGAACATCAGGTGGTCCAGGAGGCTCAGGGCCATTGAAATCACTTCTGCTGCAATGTCTTGAGCATCTCTGCCCTTTCCCTGCAAGGATTGGGGTCCGTGGCTCTCCTCCAACAGGCTGAACGTGAAGTCACTCCAGCCGCAAGTTGCGGAAGCCAAGGCAAAGTCTCAGAAAAGGAAGGCAGTTGCAGTGGCTGCACCAGCCAGAAGTCTTCCAGCAAAGGGGGGCAAGGGCAAGTTCCAGAATCATCTTGCAGCTAAGCCTAAAGATGAGATCGACAGCATCGACAGCTTGACAACTGATGCGCGCGTCAAGTCGGCCAAGCCCACAGCCAAGTCCTCGGAATCTTCGGAGTGGTGGGCTCTGCCTGAGGTCTGTGTGGAAAAGCCCGAGGCGAAAACAGGGGATTAATTCTCAACTCATTTCACAATCTGTTTCGATTCCAGTCTGTGCTATTCAGGAGTTGCCCGAGCCAGCCCAGGCAACATCGCAGGCGGTATCTCAGGCACGATTCTGAGCCGCAGACTTGCACTCTCTAAGAAGAAGCTGCCTGTAGGCTAGCGAGCCCGTAGCCAAAGGCCCTGAAGGCCGCGATGCAGCCAAGCAGTCAAGCTCTCCATGTACATCCAAATCTGCGGGTCCCTTTTTACTTTTTTCGGAGTCCATATCAGTACGGTTCCAGGATGATCACTTTTTCGGGTATTGACTCTGGACTCAGATGTCCAGCAGAGATTCTCGGAGAGTCCTGTGCTGCTCAGGGGGATGCGAGCCTGATGCCGTGGCTCCTGAGCTCAAATGCTGTCAGTGATGTAAAAGAAGTTTCTAGGAAGTACGTAGACCACGTTGCAGCCACCCGCGCAGCAGGACGTGTCTTTAATCTCTGAGGCTTCCGTGCAGGAGGCCGCGGGCAGCCTGCTTTTGTTCTATGAAGCTGTTCCTTTCATGCGGCAGGAAGCACCAGAGACGCCTGGCCCCGGCGAGGACAGCCAAGAACAGCCACCCTTTGCTGAGGGCTTTGCTTTGTGCTTCAGGTGTTACCAGGGTGCCGGGCTTGGCAATGGGAATATGAGTTGACTTTTTTGCTTGCTTTCACTTGGTTTAGGTCGTCGAAGAAGGCGCCCCTTTCAAGGACTGTCATGCAGCATATGCAGCTTGGTGGCTTGCATTGCCAGGTCTTGGTCTGTGGAGATCTCAAAGGTGAGCTCCAACTTCTGCAGCGAACCTTAGAGGACCTCAAGGCCGGCTGATTGGCCCCATGCTTCACAGTGATTCACAGCCTCATGCTCCGATTGGCCTCTGATGCTGCCATTGCAGTAAGGAAGTTTACACATCTTAGCTTGAAAGTGCTGATGTGCTCTCGGGATTGAGCAAAGCCGCTCGATGGTCGCAGCACTTGCGCAGCTTGCGCAGCTTGCGCAGGAGTCTGGCTCAGAGGCGAGTTGGAGTTGTTTGATAACGAAAATTGGAGCTTCACAGCTTCACAGCGCTACTGTTTCACGCAGGTGGAGCTCGTCTTCGCGGTTGGAAAATTTCTGTGAAAGCCTTGGGGAACCAATGACTTCGCGGATTGCGGACTGAAACGTCCTGGCAAGGCCGGCAAAGCAGGAGATGCCCTTGGAAGAGTTTGAGAGCCTTGGGCCTAGAAAAGGGCAGAGAGAGTCCCTGTAGAATACCATGAGGCGATATGCCAAGCACAGAGGGCAGAAAGATCGCACAGAGAGCGCAAAGATCAACAGCGTAGAAGGAAGACCTCATATGTGCCCATTCTACATCAGTTTACATGCGAGCTTGAGGTAGTAAAGGTAAGGTGCTGGAGAGAAGGAGCTGAGAGAAGGTCTATGTGCCGAGACGCAGATGTCTTGCCCTGTCTACTTCATTGAGTCCCACTCAGAGGCCGTCTGCCTCCTGTGCTTCTCTCTCTCGTGACAGGGTGTCATGATGCACCGGTCTGCAGTGGCCCAGCGGCCTGCAGCATTTGGTTCTGCAGGATTTGATCTCAAAGTCTCTGAGCTCCAAGACTGCTCTGAAGCTTGGTGGGGCCCTAAGGACACCAGATGCGTGGAATTATGAGTTTTCTGCCACAGGCCCGCAGATCTCTTATCTTGGGGCTTGTGGCGTGGCCGAGATAGAGGCCAAGCACATCATGCGAGAAGGGTGGAAGACTGCAACGATTAACATCACAGCTAGCAAGTGAAACCATCACACAGTCCATTGAAGCCTTCTTCAAGCTCATGACTTCGGGATTCTACTCCCAGGGCTTGACTGTGGCTTTCCTATCGGGCAAGTACGATCCGAGCAACTTCAGGACCAAATGACATCCCTCCCTGCTTTAGGGAGTTTTCGCGGCTCAGTTTTATGTAAGCACTCCTGTCAGATGGCTGTTGATGGTCATGCGAGGAGGGTATGGGGCGAGAGTGTTTTCCTGCCACCTGATGGCTGTGGCAGGGCGCCAAGGTAAGTGCTGGACCAACCTTCCTCCATGCCATAGTTTCTGCCTGCCCCGTGGACCTGGACTGAGTGACTGGCTGATCTCCAAGGTTTGTCAACACCGGGCTCTCTGCATTGATTGCATTGACTCAATTTGAGGGATGTTGAAATTCTAGCCAGAATGGATTGTTGTACCACGACGGTTGTGTGCCGGTTTGCAGCATCCTCACAATTTCGCTCCAGAACGGGCTCTCGTCGTATGTTTGGCGTGTTTTGGGAGTTTCAGGAATTCTGGGAATTCTGGGGAAGGTCTTTTGGGAAAGCCACAGTTCTTCGACTTTCACCTGGTCGCGACATCCTGGTGGGCATCCAAAACTTCTTGCTCTTTCTCTCTATCTCTTGCTCTTTTAGTGGCGTTTGTTTGCTGGAGGGTCCCCGCACTCTTGACTCTGCGAGGGCAGCTGCGATGGGCTTTTGCATTTCAAGCGCTCTTGAAGTCTTCCATGGTTGCCTTGGGGTCCACCCTTTTCATCGCCGACCTTGAGGCGAGGGCCGCCACTACACGGAGAATGCTGTGAAGCAGCTGAAGCACGAGGTGCTACCATTGGAACCCCAAGAAGGGAGGCAAACAACTTGGAGAATGCAGGCGTCCGTGCTGGATGTAGTTGTCAGGCCTCAAGCGCTGGCAACGTCGATGCATTGACCTGAGTTAGGAATATACATTATTGCAAGGCTGTGGTTGGTTTGTTGTGTGAAGCCTGGCGCAGGTCCTGCTTACTTCGGAATGGCCGGGGGCCCTTTTTTTGCGTCCGCCCCTCCTGCTATCTGGAGCTCAGGCCAGACAAGTTCTGGTCCACGGCAGCAAAGAGCGAGGTGCATGCAGGGCATCAATTCTCGAATTCTACAGCTCAGATTTAATTTGGATCTTGCTGAAGATGGAGGCCACCAATCCTGTTGACCGCTCGCATCGCAGCCCGGCCGTGGCTTGCCTCGCTGGTGCCATGGTGACACTGTGTGCCAGACACGATTTGATGCTTTTGCAAGGTTCAGGACCTCTTCTTCCAACTGAAGCCTAGGTATCATGCCCCCAGCTCAAGTTTGACAGCGTCCATGTTGGCCCAGGGAAAAATTCACATAATAGGCGAGAACATGAGTGCAGGCTCAGGCATTGGTTGAACCCGGTAGAGCAGACATCAACAAACTGCAGCACGGAAGGGTGAGGACGAATTTCTAGGCTTGCATGGGTTTTTCTGAATCTCCGGAGATGAGGTCCACGCGAGCGCCAATTCGTACAGGCTGAGGTGCCTGGATGTTGCACACTTTCCGCATGAGTTCACTCCTCGCGCTAAACATAAATGTTCTTGCTCTTCGGCTACTTGCTTGGGGCAAGCCGTTGACTGCTCAACAACTTCCTTCTAACTAGCTGGCAATCTTAATATCATTCTTCCGACAGCAACCGCTCCAGGAAGGCGAACCAAGGGCCCTACAAATTTGTCTCCACGTCCATTGGCCTCTGCGATGCAGCGGCCTTAGAGAGGAGAACCACAGAGCATTGTGGAGCCCTTAGCAAAGGTAGAGCTGGGCCATAGTCGTCAATCATCCTACCAGAAATGATGAGAAGCTCTGCACCGTGCCCCCCGAGTGAGGCCTGGGCAGATAGCGATGCGGAGGACCCTGTCGCAAAACTGCGCTGTCAACATCCTCGCACGGTTCACACGCTGACATGAATGAACAAAGGGAATTTCGTGGAGGTTTTACGATGCGCAATTCAGGAATGGTAGCACGGGTAGACAACTTGTGAATGCTCTGGAGGGTGAAAGTTGCAGGCGCTTCCCGAGGAGAGCCGCAAGTGGTTCCACTTGATGTCCATGCGCCGGCTCCTCGGGCACGACATGTCCTCCAGCGCGGCATCAACAGCCATTGCTTCTTTTCTGTGCAGGAGCAAACTGTCCTGAGAAGTTCTCCCTGGTCGATGAGGCGAGCCAGAGCTGCCAAAGAACCTCTGGGAACCTTTGACTTGTTGAAAAAAAGGTTTTGAGAGAAACCCGCCCTCGCTTTGCAGGCCGCACCTCGCAAAGTAACGCCGGGAGCCCAGGAGCCGCTTTGCCATGCCGTGGGGACTTGGCCACTCAAAGAGAGCTACTCACACAGACACCGAAGGTCACAAGCACGCCAGGCCAAGTGAGCCGCGAGGGGACTTTGATTTCAATCGGCTTTTTGGAGTTCCTTTTACTCCACTTGTACTACTACGGGGTGTGTCACCGCGACGTGTGCCATCACACGTCGTGCTGTGTGTTTTCGTGTGTTTAAGTGACATGGGAACGCCTGGGCGTGCGGGGGAGAGAAAGCAGCTGTGCTCTGTCAAGAAGGAGAACTTGAAGAAGTGCTAAAAAGTTGAAAGATTGCCTTTTGCTCGAGGCTTTGCGATTTGGCTTTTGCCGTTGCGAATCGAGCCTCGAGCCATGAAGCGGAAGCGGCAGGCACGGCAGGGCCTGGAAGAGGGCGACGGAAAGGCCAAGCCCGGGCCCGAGGCCTTCGAGGTGGAGTTTGAGTTTTTCGATCCCGAAGAGTCCGACTTCCATAGCGTCCGTGAGCTCCTCTGCACCGGAGCGCTGGGCTTTTGGGACCTGGACTTCTCCGAGTTGGCGGACAGCATCGTGGAGCAGGTAAACATCGGCACCATGATCAAGTCTGGCTCTGGTGAAGGCTTAGATGAGGAGGATGAGGAAGATGCCGCTTTGTGTGGCCTCCTCACGGCCTTGAATCTGAGGCAGTTCTCCGAAAAGGCTTGGTGTCAGCACCTTATTCCTCTACTAGAAGAGAAGGCCAAAGGTAGCGGCATGCAGGAGAACCTGAAAACATTTTTCAAGGAGGCCCAGCCGGGCCTCTTGATCTCCGAGCGATATGTGAACCTGCCTCTGGAGCTCATCCCAATGCTCCACAAGGCAGTACTGGAAGATATCCAGTGGTCCCAAACCACCGAGCACTGTCCAAGCGAGGCTCGTGCTGAAAGTTTCTGTGAAAAATACTTCCTCAGCTTTCTGAATGCACAGGAGCGGCCCTTCTACTTCTTCACGCACTTCATGCTGCTGGCAAAATGCCATGTCTCTGACACAGGCACAGCAAGTGCCCAGCAAGTGAGGAGTTAGTAAACGCCAAGCTCTCTTCAGCCTGGGAGCAAGTGAAGAAGTGAAGAAGTGAAGTGTGGTGAAGTGTTCTTCGACCTCCTTAAGCTCCTCAAACGCTCCCAAACCATCCCAAACCCTTTTAACCCTAACCACCTCCCCCAAAAAAACAACAGATTATGCATCAGGCCTTGCCTTGGAGGCAAAAGGGCCCTCAAGAAAAGACCATGAAAGACCTTAAACCCTGATCCACAGAGGCATGCCTCCAGCGGCACTCCCGCACGCAACGGAGTTCACATGGCATCCCAAGAAAGACCTAACTCCTAAGCTCCAAACCCGAAGCCTTGAAGCTTTAAACCCCATCTCCCAAATCCGAGACCCTAAACCCTAAGATCCTAAACCCTTCCACCCGAAACCGCGAGACTCCAAACCTCTTTCCCCCTTGACAACAAAACAACCTAAAAACCTGAAGAAGGATGTGTGCTGCATGAGGAATTACAAAAGCTACGCTACACAGGCAAGTGGATGCGAACTGGACTCCCCCGAGAACCACCTCCCGCCTTGAGGCATTCGGCTGGGCGGCCACACTGTCGCCTTCACGCGGCCTGAGGCGCTCAGAAAAGTCGTAAAAGCAAAAGCCCCAAGCAAAGCAGCAAAGCAGCAAAGCAGCTTAGCACCAGGACGAGGCCTTGGCAAAGGCTTCGGCCTCAGTCTGGGACATGCTCCTCCCGAGCAAAGGATTTGAAGGGCTGGAAGTACCATCCGGGTGTTAGTGTCAGCTCTGCCACGCAAATCCGGCACATGCAATTGCACCCATGTGCGGAGCTCCCCTCAGCTCGAACCCTGTAAAACGGCTGCACGGCTTCTGCCGAGGCCGCTTCCCTGGGCTTCAGCTTTGCCTGCCAGGCGGCGGAAAGCAAACCCAAGAGGCATAGCTCCGCGAATCAGCGAAGCAGAAGTCCGTTGAACGGTTGCAGTTTGGTTTTTTTCTCACCTGCTCCTCGGAGGAAGAAGAAGAGCAATTCTGCGGTTCCGGCAGCTTCGGCCAATTCGCAGGCACGTCTCTGCTTGGCAGAATGGAGAGCTTCATGCAGCCGCACGGAGGACCGCGTGGCAGTGCTCTGCCTCACGCGATCTGCTTACGAGAAAGTGGTGGCCGGGCTTCGGAAGGCCCTGGATACCAAGGCGCTGCTAAGGGAAGCACTTTCATTTTCAAGTCTGCATGCTGAGCCTGGGCGTGAGGAGTCGTGAGAACTACACGTTTCACCGTAGCTTTTGCAATGAGAGTGCCGTCAGAGCAGATAGAAATCTGAAGATGATCAGATTTATGTCGAGCAGCAACTCCCAGCGAATCGCAGCAGAGATGTTTCTCAAGCCAACCATGTAGTCATGTAGTCCCTCAGCCAGCAGCAGGGGCTGCGCTCGCAGAGCAGTGAACTCCTCTGCCTGACATGTGTAGGCAACGCAGCCAAGCACTGTGTTCTGGAGCAGCTTGCACTGAGGCTGATGCCAGAAACCACTTACTGCCAGAGCCTGTGTTTCTGCTTTGTAGATCCGAACATGATGAAGACCCGGCACAGGCAAGGAATGGGTCACCACCGAAGAGGTTGCGCGACCCAGCATGTAGAGTGGTCTTGCCGCGCTCTCAAGGGTGCGCCTTGAGGCTTTGCCACTTCCTTCCCAGCCATTTCTGACGGCATATATGAGTGCAGCGTCCACAGAGGGACCCTTGCAACCGTGCCAATCCCTGAGCCTTTGGGTAGTATAGTATAGTATAGGAAGCTGTAGGTATTGGATCAT